ATTTTAGACGACCAGACATCCCTGGCCTGTTGTTCCGAGTTACCAAAGCAGAGCTGAAATTGGCTATGTACGCCTTCGATAGCAGTCGCATCCAGAAGATGACGCATTGCAGGAGACTTACTAGCAATTTCAATTGCCTCCGGATGAAATACCACATCACAAACCTCACAAAATTAGAAAAAAGAAGAATTGGAATGAGAAACTGGGGTTAAACCTGCACTAGTAAGGAAAAGTATGCGCAAAAACAATAGCATAGCGGAGCTTTGCTGTAAGAAAAGACATTTTGGATAAATGTTTAGGAGTCACACTATAAAAGGCACGCAAATAATACTGACAGTTACTCAAAGAACAATGTATCCTGGAAATTTTTATTGGAATAGCAAAATCTGCCTTCAGTAGTTTAAAACTAAAAGTCATGGGGTGATTTTAAATAAAAGAATAATGACTAGTCGATACTGAGTGACGGAAGCCAAATTGGATGAAAAATGAAGTCAGAACGGAACTTTACGTCTACTTAACGGTGTGGTTTCCTTATGTGTTTCACTCTACCCAGCTCAATATTAAGTATGTTGACACGAGTGCCAACTGAACTGGACAGGTTGGTGGCTGAAAGAAGAACGGCAGTAGTTTCTTTGTCGTACACAACGAAAATCACTTAGACTTACAACACATCTGATAGAACGGCAATCGGAAATAAACGGATTCGACTTGGGCATTTGTCATGCAGGGTAAAAAGAATACAATACCTGATATAACAACGTGTTTTGCCTTTAAAGTCCAATTTGAGAGTACCAAGAGAAAAAATCTGAGTTCTACGCTAAATCTCAAAGTACTTACTAGACAGCGTTTTTTGTCCTTATCTAGATCCTCTAACGGGGGTGAGAACGAATGGGGGATGCTCCATCGAACACCGTTTTTGGGTCCGTCTCCGCAAGTTTGAGCATCAGTCACAAATTCTGGCTTGCCAACTTTGTCTGAGGAACAGATGTTAATAAAGACTTTTTGACCATCGGCTAACGGTGGGGCATCTTCGAAGTGTTGCTTAACTTTTGGTGGGCCTGAAACGCTGGGCCAATGACGAGTCTTAAGTACGTAACAGGGAGTTGGGTGGATAAATTCGACGTCCATGCCGCGCCCTTGTTCAGCAAGTTTGATCTCTTCTTCATAACTGCAACCAAGAATGATAGAC